CCCGTCTGCCCAGCGCCCCCCGCGCTCCCGCGCCCCGCCGCCGGCCTGCGGGCCAGGCGGGCGGCGAAGATGGCGGCGCGGGCCGGCCCCCGCCTCGCCTGCTCCTCACCTGAGGTCTCGTCGGCCCCGTCGTGGTTGGAGTTGAGCTCCTTTTTACTGACTTTGGCCGCCGGCGCCGACATGGTGCTGCTCCGCGGTCGGGGGGGGAGCGGGGAGGGGGAGAGAAGGGAAGGCGAAGGGGGCGGGCAGCGGCTTCCCCTCACGCCACACGCGCGGGCGCTCGCTCGGTCCGGCCGCCTCCTCCCGGCGCCCGCTCGCTCTCCCTCCCCCTAGCTCGCGCGCGCTGCCCTCGCGGCCTGACGACGAGGGAGGGGCTGGGGCGGCGTGCCGGGCCCCGGCCCGGGCTCCTGCTTACGGAGGGGAGGCGGCGGCGGGCGAGCAGGCGGCTGGGCTCCCTCACTCACGCTCCGCGCTCCAGCTCGCTGCTCGTTCTCCCCGAGCCGCCTCCTCCTCCACCTCCTCCTCTCGGCGAGGGGCGGGCGGCAGGGCGCAGGCGCGCCAGGCCCCACGCGCACGCCCCGCCCTCGGCCGGAGAGGCTCGCGCCGCCTAGTCATTGGTTGGAGCTCCGGGACGAGGGGGCGGAACCGCAGCGAGGAGACACAGGGCCTGGCGAAGAGGCGGGAGGAAGGAACGCGGCGACGTACGGGGCCGGCCCCCCGCGCTGCGCTCCCCTCCCCCGCTTTCCCTTCTACAGCCCGACCCGGGACGTTTGCGCGCTACGGGCGCGCAGCGACCCTAGAGGCAGGCCCCTCGGCCGGGGCATCACGTGGTGGCGCAACGGCTTCCCTTCACCGCGGGTGGCGCGGGAAAAGGGTGTTCGCAGTCCCCCAAAAGTGGAGGCCTAGTAGTAGCCTGGCGTCATATCGAGACTCAGAAATACATCCCCCCCAGGTTCTGCGCCCTGGGACAGTGCTGGCCCTGGGACAGTGCTGGGGCGGAAGGAAGGAGGCACCTCCATCCTATTTTCCAGATGGGGAAGCCGCTCTTCTGACCACTGAGGCTTGTTTGCAAATACCACAACTGTCCAGTCCACTCACATGGCTGTTTCCTGGCTTTCAGTCCAAGCAAGCTGTGTGCTCTTGGGCAAGTCACTTTTCCCCTTAGTGCTATTTGTTATAAAACTATAAAATGCAAAAAAAGGGCTCACAAATGGAAACGTTGGGTCAGTGGTGACATTTAAGCGGGGCCGCACTGAAGTGGAAGTCCTCCGAAGGTAAGGAGGTGCCACATTAATCTGCGGGTCGTTCTGGCCCAACTCAGTGCCTAATACTTGCAAGAAACCCTACCTTGCTAAGGGCCAGTCTAAGCAGCGTACAGCAGCGTGCAGCGTGCATCTCCTTAGGGCCCCATGAGTGACGTGTGGGGTAGTCGTGTTAAGTTCATTGCGCCCAGTCAGAGATGATTAGGGCAACCAAGACCTGCTTTAGAGGCCAAGTTTTGAACCATTAAGTAAGGCCAAGGCATTTCTGTTTAAATAATGCTTTCCAGATAATGCAAACGCACCAGACTCTTCTCCCTCCTCCAGGGCCCCGAGACATGGACCACAAAAAGCCTGAAATCTCTCCCTGGGCGTTTGTAACCCAAATTTGAGGTTGGATTATTTGCCTTCCAGCAGGCACATCTTACTATCAGCTCTTAAAACTCAAGCAGTGTCTTTAATGTTCAAGAGAGTCCATGGTAAATGATCGATAAATATTAAATAATTGGCATACAGTCGATGGGTACAGAATACAAAAACCTTGGGACTTGCTCCCAAAACCCAGAAATTCATCTAATGCTTCCCCTCCAAACCTGATTCTCACTGAGTCCAGGTCAATTCATACCTATCTCAATTGCAGGGGCTTAGAGGAAGATTAGTAAATGACAACCAGCTCCCAGAAGAAAACAAAAAGAACAACAAAACCCAGCCCTGATTTGTAGCATTTGCTGATTTCGGTAGTTTATACTCTCTCCATGGACAGTTTCCTCCTGCCCCTGTGATGTCACTGAACAGAGTTGGAAAGAAATACCAGGGTCTAGAACACTGCTGAAGCATGTGCCATGGACCACAGGCTGTGATAAGCACATGCATTTTCTCATTTAATCCTCATGAAATACAAGGTAATTATTAATATCCTCATTTCACATATAAACTCAGTTGTTTTTTTTTAATTAATGCAAGTGGCAGAGCCAAGATTCAAAACCAGGCTAGTGAATAGCAAAGCCCCTGTCTTAAGACAGAGTTTTTCCATTTTTTGACATGACCTATAGTAAGATGTACATTTGACATCAGGACCTGGACACACCTACACACAAAACAATGCTTACCCTTACTAAGTGTGATGTAACCCTTAATCTATTTTCTTTGAATGCAGAGAGCACTCCACTAAAATGATTTCACCACCCACAAATAGGATGAAAGTCTGAAAAACAGTGTGCTGAGGGTTGCTGCTACACAAAGCCTGCTCACAGGTAGGTACCAGTGACCCACAGCATCTCCTAAGTGCCTGAGCTACTGTTTCCCACACATCTGCAGAGGCTCCAGGGAGCCCTTGCACCATCCTACCCTTAGGGCCATCCTGCTCCTCTTCCTGACCTTTCCCACAGCAAGGACTCTGCCATAAAAGAGAGTGAAATCTTAGGGCCAGCTGAGTGGCTCAGTTGGTTAAGAGCTCGCTCAAGAGTGTGAGCTCTGAGCAACAACGGTTCGAGTCCCAGCACAAGCTGAGCTGCCGCTGAGCTGCCAACAGGTGGCAGGATGGCTCCGCTTAAAAAAAAAAAAAAAAGAAATCTTACCATTTGAACAACATGGATGGACCTAGAGGATATTATGCTGAGTGAAATAAGTCAGACTGACTGAGAAAGACAAATACCGTATGATCTCACTTCTATGTGGAATCTAAAAAACAGAATAAAGGAACAAACAGAACAGAAATACTCAGACACAGAGAACAAACTGATGGTTGCTAGATGGGAGGGGTTGGGGGATGGGGGATGGGTGAGAAAGGTGAAGGGATTAGGAAGTACCAATTGGTAGTCACCGACCAGGATGTGAAATACAGTATGGGGAATATAGTCAATGTTGTAAAGACTATGTAGGGTGTCAGATGGGTACTGGACTTATCAGGGGGATCACTTCAGAGATTATATAAATGCCTAACCACTGTCCTGTACACCTGAAACTAATATTGAACGTCAACCATGATTTTAAAAAATATATATATCGTCACAGGATGTGTGAAGTACAGCATAGGGAATACAGTCAATGGTATTGTAATAGCTATGTATGGTGTCAGATGGGTAATAGACTTGGTGGGGTTATCACTTTGTGAGGGGTGTCAATGTCATTCTGTTGTTTTGTACACCTGGAACTAATACGAAAAAAAGAGATGAATGCAAGGAGCAAACACTAGGAAGTGGAAGAGAAAGAGAAAGCAAAAGGGCAAGTGTTTCAGTAAACAAGGGAGTGGCATGGACACACCAAGAGATAATTCACCCACTGCGCATTATTCACTGTGGTCTCTTCCCGGCTACAACATTCTCTTTGGCCTCTTACCTCACTCAGAATTCCTCCCTCTCCTCTCTTTTCCAGCTTCCTTTGAAGGAGAGCCCCACGGCTTACAAACTGGAACAGAGATGCTGGTGTTCTCTACAGGGCAGCAGTGCCCCAAGATGACAAGGAAATCTTAGCTAGGATGGCCTTCCAACACACACACCCTCTGAGCCTCCTTTTTCTGATCTGTAAAATGGGGTTATCCACAGCACACTGCTGTTGTGAGGGCTGATGGAGATAGAAGTGCTTAGCACGGTGCCTGGCAGATCAGTGCCCAGTGAGTGGAATGAGCTGTTATCTGGGTCTAGATGAACCACATCGGAAGGACTCCGGTTGCACCTTCTGATCCTGTTAATTTCCTCAGAAAGCTAAACAGAAGGAGACCAGGAAGACTTATGTACATTTCGCTGCTCACAAGTGGCAAGGAATTTATAGCCATCTCAAGAGCACAGATTATATGCCACTGCTGTCTTAACTGTTTTTTAAGTGTTAGGTTACTTCTATTTAAGCCTCACAGCAAGCCTAGCAGATAGGTGCTATGGAGCCCACTTTGCAGAAGAGGAAGAGAGCACAGGTTCTATCACTTGCCCAACAAGGTCACACAGCCAGGAGCTAAACTTCAAACCCTGGCCATCCAGCTTTACCACAAAGGGGCATCGGCTGGGCAGGTCTTTGCATCCCATTGGACCAAGACCCAGTAAAGTCATAATTGCCACCAGTGCTCCTTCTACGAGCATAGCTGGACCTCAGCCACATCAGCAAATTAGAAAGATTCACATACTCGGAGCCCCTCCCCGCTGAGCTGAGCCAGCCTGCGATCACATTTTCCTGGGGCAATGCTATCTTGCCTTCTACCTATCCAAACCCAGCCCCCACAAAAGCCCCACCACATCCTTACTCTATCAGGAAGGCCTAATCACCAGAAGATCCCACTTTGTGCCTGGCTCCAAGCTGTGTGTCTGCAAAATGTACTCCTCACCTCCAAGTTAACGGTTAATGGCGGGGAGGAGCAGACACGTAACCAACAATTACAATGTAATGATTGTAAGGGCCGAGCTGGGATGACTCCCAGATATGCTAGGGCAGAAGGGGGCTCCTAAAGCCCAGCAGCTGTAGCTCAAAGGAGAACGCGTGCAAGAAGTGACTTTTCAGCAGAGACCTGGGATAGGGAAAGAAGACTGATCGGGCAGAAAACAAGTGGGTGTCTGGGTCCGGAGGTGAGAGCATAGAGCCCCAAGAGGCGAAGAGAGGTAAAAGGTGCTAGAGGGCGCATGACCCTGGATAACGGACAGGGCCCTGGAAGTCTGGGTCAATACCTCAAAGGGCAATGGGAAAGCAAGGATTTTAAGCCAGGGAGTCACGTGATTGGCTCTGCTCAGGCTACTAGGAGGAAGCTGGAAGCAAATGAGGAGGAGGAGGTGGCTAGAATTGTGGGCGGGCGGCAGCAGCAGGAAAGAGGGGTGGGGGAATGAGAGATTGAGGAGGTAGAACCACCAGGATTTGGGGATCTTACGGGATGTGGAGGGGTGAAGGAGAGAAAAGGGGTCACCTGTGTCTGCCTAGCCTCAGGCTGGCTGGTGGTGCCACTAACCAGGATGGGGAACCCAAGAGAGGTGTTTGGGGGCTGGGAGCCACGCTCGGGCAGGCGTTGGTGTGGGGGCAGGGACGGGCTCCCACGTGCTCCCAAGTATCCCCAAGTTTCACTCCTTCGGTTCTTCACATAAACCTAATCCACTCACCCCATGCTTACAACCCTTCAGTGGAATTTGGGGGTCACATCTCAAAACTCTCAAAAAGAATTAGCCAAAAAAATAAAATCACTTAAGAGTCAATCCTTGCAAATCCCTGAAATCTCTAATAAAATGTAGTGTGGGGACATACCTCTCTTGGGCACGTCCAGAGAGGTCGACGTCTTCTCCGGCTTGGGGGCAGGAGGCAGTCTTGGTTTCTTCGTTTGAGATGGGA